TTTATACTTGATAAACTACATGAGAACTAATCTTTTCAGTAAATGATGATTAGAACGATCCCTTCAGGGCTTTAGCACAGCAAATGCAAGTTAGTATTCTCTAATGTCTCTATAAAGTCAACAGGTTAATGTTTTTCAGCAACACAAGAAACTCAAGGTAAGCCACAGTAGGCTCTTTTTGGATTCAAACCCATAATTCTCTATGAACGGGCAGAGCAGATCGGAGCAGAGGTGTCAGCTGCTAATATAGAGACTTCCTGTAGTATTGCTGATTCAACATCCTTTGAGCTGACCCCTCCATGCCCCCCCAAAAACATCCAGAAAGGCCAAACACTGCAGCATTCATCCTTTTATACTTTTTATGACGATCATATGACCATATAATATTATGTAACAAAAGTGCCCATGCAAAACTGCGCATTTTGAAGGTCCCTCTCTGTGTAGTTAAGGTCTTGGGAGGCTCTTCTAATAAGATGATGTTAATCAAGTGTGTTAAATAAGATGATGGGATACTGCATGACCAGGACTGAGAATATAATGTGTTACAGCCCTTGTCATACTTTAGGCCAGGGCTTTTCAAATTTTCAAACTTTTCGAACAAAAAAAAAGTTAAATTCTATAAATAATTTAAAAAAGAAAGATTAAAAAACACATAAATAAAAATGATGTTCAAGGAAAGAAAGTAAATAGTGAATTAAAGGCAATAAAATAAGTCAATCAATACAGTACTATAACAGTACAGTACTAAAATGAGTAAAAAGCAACATAATAATGTAACGTTATAGAAAATATATATTTTCAAAATTCTATTTTAGATATATTTACAATATTATGTTTTTCACTGTAAATTGGGTCTTTATACAAGAAACTATATATACCTTTAATATTTTAGGATGGGATCCCTTGCATGTGGCATCTAAAAAGATAAATACTTGTATATGATTTTCCCTCCCTTTTGCCTGCAGGTTCACCTAAGCAGTTACATCTGAATTTTGGATGAAATACTCCTTTACATACAGTAATGAAGTGAAGTGAGGACTGAAAACTCCTTCAAGTTCATTCACATGTTAGGCTACATGTTACATTTAGTAACCAACATTAAAAAGAATTGAATGGATTTAACAGCGGATTAAGTAAAACCTAACAACTCGGAATCGTGTTAACAACCCCCATTTAAACGCTTCCTTTCGAGAGTTTAGACTAGAGTACTGAATCTGACATAAAAACACGAGATCTGCCAACTTTACACGAGCACACCTGTTGATTCAGACTTACCTTTGGCGTTATAATGTGTTCCATATTTTCAGTGGTTTATCATCCAAATGTCCACGTTAAACTTTCGATGTTTAGCAGTTATCATGTTTGTTTCAGGAACTCGTGTTATGTTGCTGCGCTCCCCCTGACCTGAGGACTACAATCATGTTTGTCAGCTGACGGGAGCAAATATCGCGATAACTCGAAGCGCGACGTGTTTTCAGACGCCTATTTGTTGTATGGGTTTTCAGCAGCTCATTCCTGAAGGATGCTGTAATCATTTAAACCACTGCAGTCCGTCTGTCAACAAAACATATCAATTTAAAATAAATAATGCCAATTATTTTAGTAACACAATGTTAAAGGTAAAAATCAGTCTAAAAATTTACCTCATCTCCCCGAGATTTAAGATATAACTAGCCTGTGCATAAAGGCAGAAATTAAAGCAAAAAAAAAAAGATTAAAATAAATAATGCAATTTAATTAAAATAAGTTAGGTTAAAATAAATAAATAATACATTTGATTGAAATAAATACATTTAAATAAATAAATAAAATGATTAAAATAAAAAAATGTTATTTAATAAAAAATCTAAAAGTACAGTAAGTGAGTAGAAAAAAACACAATGATGTAACATAATAGAAACTAAATATTTTCCAAATAATATTTTACACACATTTTTTATATAATGTTTTATTAAAATAATAAGGATAATCATATTTGGGGGTCTGTGGCATCTAAAAGATTGAAAATCCCTGATCTAGACAAGCCTAAACATATCTGGAAACCTCATTAGGCCTTACCTACACCCAGACACATGCAGCACAGGGGGGTTGCTCCTGCAGGGTGGCCCAACCAGATTTGCCTAATTGCTGGGGAGGACCCCCATCGCTTGACCCATTGTCACCATAACGACCTCCCGACCCTTAGGCTCAGTTATCTGATAACAGCACACTAATGAAGAACATTAACATACAGCTCACTCGGCTTAAGCCAAATTCCCTCTCGAATACCTGCCAATGTCCCGTAAACACAAAAGCACAAAATACACATACTATAGAATCTGAGATGACAGCAATTGTTGACTGCAATTAAGAGCAGAGGTGAGTTTTACTCGAATCAAGGCAGAGTTTACTCAAGAAATACAGTTGTTACCGCATCTGAATATGCATACAAAAAAAATTGAAAGGTTGTGAAGTAAGTACTTATTTAAAATAAGTACCTAAGTATGCTATATTGAATGCAAGCCAGGAGTTTGTTTTTGAAGCATCAGATGCTGGAGAAGCTAATGTGTTTTTAGGAATCTCAACTCAGAGAAGAGAATCAGATAAACAACACGCCCTTTGGGATAAGGCTAAAATCTGCAGATGGATCTTTACACACAGATCTGAATGCTGTCTAACACTGAACTCAGCTCCATCTGAGCGCTATCATTTCATGTATCTCATTCCTGCACTCTCAATGTGAGCATGACCAGGTTTGGGCATGTCAACAGGGTTCAGCTAGAAAGGACAGATATGTTTGTCTGATTTTGACTAGCAGGTACAAAAGTACCTGTACTAGTATGGTAATGGTATCATAAATGTCATGAAAAATATCATAAATACGTTTAGAAACTATAAAAACAAGCATACAGAATATTAGTTACTTAGAATCTTATGCTCATAAAGGTACATTTATTTGATCCAAATTTTTATTTTATTTCTTTGATGGCGAAGCTGAATTTTCAGCAGCCATTACTTGAAAATATGAAGCTGTTTTCAGAAATGTTTCTTAAGCACCAAATTTTACTTGAAGGAAATATATTGAATACAACCTGAAAAACTAGTTCCAATTTCCTGTTTATTCCACTCTCAGTCTCTCTTTCGGTTCCTCTCACTTTCTCTCCTTCCAACTGTCTCTTTTTCTCTTGTTTCTATCGTCTCCCTTTCCAGTTTCTGTAATCCTACCACCAAATGGTGTCACATTACCAGTTATTTTGTTTTCAGAAATACATTTGCCATCTGGAGCTTGCACACATGCAGGCCCTACATGCGCGCATGCACACACACACATGCGTTACTCCTGGTCTCAGTCTCTGAGATGTATGCGATTCTTAAGCACCTAGTTAAAGTTAATGACTCAGTCATATTCAATAAGCCGAGCCTGTCACACCCACAGGAGACAGGCTTTGTTGACCTGATGCTAATGTGTTAGTTCTCAGACAATGGCAATTTACTGTCTTTTGTGTGAGGACTAATCTCTGTTAATAGCTTGACACAATCAGGTCTGCCCAGCTGCAACAGAGATTTATGTGAGTGACGATGTGTGTTGTTTTTGGGATACAGTCAAAGATGTAAAATCTGAATGGAGGTAGAATCTGTTTCAATGAACGCAGTAGGGCATATGATGGATGTTACAGGGAATAACCTGCATGCATTTGAATACATACATTTGATTACAGCACTAAAAATATTAAATATGTTCCTCTATAGTGGAAATATTGTCGTTTTGGAGGTCTAGAGTTTGATGTTTTCACATGAGTGGTGAAGGTATAAAAACAGGTTGTGGACAGCAGATAAAAACATTGAAATAAATGGAAATAATAAAATGCAATGAACATAAGAGAAGCAAAATGAATAAATATGACCCAGACTATATTAAATTAAAGTTCACTTACAGTAAGAATAAACACATTTTGTTTTATGGCTGTCAAAACCATAACATCATCCAAATTCGAGGAAAGATTTATTTATTATTATTTCCTATTCTGCCTATGTCATGGTAATAATGATGCATAATGTTGCAGTTAAAAAAGAATACACTTCGATGTTCGAGTTTCATGCAATTTTATATATACTTTCATACAGTAAGCAATTCTGGTACTGTTTCTTCACTTCTTGGGTGTCTCTGAATCAGGATTCTGATGCAAGACTATAGAACCACAGCATGATGAGTTTAACGAGTGTGTGTGTTTAGATGTGCATTGATAGTGAATTGACCTCCCTGTCTCAGATAAAGTAAACAGAGACAGACAAGCACAGTCTGTAACCTCTAACCCCACATACACTCACATACTAAAGGCTCCATCCATCTCCAGACGTGAATAGGCATGCTATTTGTATATCTGAGTTATTTATCTGATATCATTATGAATATTTAGGTTTGTCTAAAGTAGTTTTTTTCTTCTTCTTTATTTAAAAATGTAGACTGATGGCATTCAAATATTTTGTTGTGAAGTCCTCAGTTAGGCTGATGATACATGGGGCAACTTTTTGAGCAATGTTACTGGGCAACAGGCAACCAGGTGAGGCACAGGGCCCATGAGTCATGACCGATCTAAAGTATCCAGATAGAAATTTGTTACCAATTCTCAGTGGGCAAGTGCCCAAGCAACACTGCTCAAAAAAAAGTTGCCCGGCAAAATTGCTCAAAATGGTGCCCCGTGTATCATCAGCCTTACTCTCACTTTAAAAAATTTTTGATTTGTGACCCAGGGAGCTGATGTAATTTAGAGTGAGTTCATCACCGCTTGTCATATCTTGTATACAGTAATTAGCAGCGCAAACATACAAATAAACAACTCTGCCAATCACTAAACCTTGCCTAACTTTAAATGCAGATGAGCGATAACGAGGGGCTGATGGGAGGAGGGGCTACTAATGTGTGTGTGTGTGTGTGTGTGTGTGTTTGGAGGGGGATGTGGGTCCAGCAAACACATAAATGACGCCTGCACACAGTGACTCCGGATCAGATGCGACTGGCTTGCTGGATCTTCGAAGCAACTTCACATTTAAACCGCGTTCTGCCGCGCAAAGGATTTAAACAGACGCAACCATGACTTCATCTGTATCATGTGCGCTTTTTCTATTAGTATCAGTCGTTCTACCGGTGTCTTTTGCGTTATCGGGGGAATATTGTCACGGTTGGACGGACTCCTTCAACTCTTGGCACCGGGGATTCCAGTGTCCGGAGCGCTTTGACAGCGAGGACGCGCGCTACTGCTGCGGTACGTGCGCGCTCAGGTACTGCTGTACGTACGCGGAGGCGCGCCTCGATCAGAGCACCTGCGACACCGGCTCCGAGCCTGAGAACACGGGGGACACGAGAAAGATGACAGAAAGTGGTGAGTCTTTATAACAACTTCTGTGATTTTTTTTTTTTTTTTCGTTTTGTACAAAAGGTGTAGGATTTACTTTGAAACAGTCCTCACTCAGAAATTGCTTCACTCAAAAAATGGACCACAAAACCAGTCATAAGGGTCAATTTGTTGAAATTGAGATTTATACATCATCTGAAAGCTGAATAAATAAGCTTGCCGTTGATGTATGGTTTGTTAGGATAGCACAATATTTGGCCGAGATACAACTATTTGAAAATCTGGAATCTCGTCCGTCCGTCCGTCTGTCTGTCTATCTATCCATCCATCCATCTATCATTTTCTGTTTTTTTATTCAGTTTATAACAACTTTTGTTATTTTTTTTTTTTTTTTTTTCGTTTTGTACAAAAGGTGTAGGATTTACTTTGAAACAGTCCTCACTCAGAAATTGCTTCACTCAAAAAATGGACCACAAAACCAGTCATAAGGGTCAATTTGTTGAAATTGAGATTTATACATC